AGGGTCCAGAAAGTCTTCACAAGGCAGTACTATGTCAGACCTGATGTGTGGAGAATCTGATGTAACACAGAAATCATCACAAAACAGACATCTTACTGTTGATGAACCCCTAAAAAGCTTAATTTACAAGGCCACACAGTACCGTATTTTATTATATGCGTACAAGTATATTAAACATGAAGAAATATCATTTATAACTTTTAAAACTTTCATGAAATAAATAGTTGATATCTTGAATTACATGTAGCGCTTTACTGGATCAAAAAATATTGCAAATTGGCAAAAAAAGTTCGCAACAGTTCGCCTTTTCGGATTTTTGTGAGTCTTAAATTACCTGCAACAATTATAATCTTATCTGTTAAATATGTACTCATTATTATTATAACTATCATTTTGTCTTAGACCTATAATTACTCACATTTCATGATTATTATCTTGCCAGTCAATTTGGGCGCATTATTATAATTTTTCGCATATAGATTATAATCTTACGGCGCCGCTGGAGGGCCAGGTAAAAAAAAATAATTTTATTAGTTCGGAAAAATTAGAAATTTGTTCGAACGAATTAGATATTCGTTCGGACAAATTAAAAATTCGTTCGGACAAATTAAAAATTCGTTCGGTCGAATTTAGAAATTTGTTCGGACAAAATAAGTTATTTGTTCGGACAAATTAGAAATTCATTCGGACAAATTAGAAATTTGTTCGGACAAATTAGAAATTCGTTCGGACAAATTAGTTATTTGTACGAACGAATTAGTTATCTGTACGGACAAATTAGTTATTTGTTCGGACAGATTAGAGAAAATATGTACAACTGTCAGGACACCGCGATTAATGTGCAATTTGCACCAAGACGTTTCATTTTATTTCAATTCTTTGCAAAATAACTTTAATGAACAACATCATCAATAAATATTTTGAAGATAAGTCGTTTTAATGTTGATCTCTTTCTTATAATTTTATGTACATATTCACTACCCTGCATTTATTAATCATGACAGTCATGTGAATGATTTTTGAAATACATTTCTGATATATATGTCGCCGATATGTGGCTGAAATATTGCCAATTCGGCGTAAAACATACAATAAATCAATCTGGTACATATGCGGTTTATAAAATGAAAAAAAGTCCCCATTGAGTTTTTAATTTAATATTCCTTTTGTGAATTAAGAAAAGTTCACAAAAATGAGAGCTTGTTCGTATTAATCCCAGGTTGTTCCTATGACTCGCGAGCCAGTGAATTAAGATGTCAACCGGTCAATCTGGTATATTCCCTAGTCTGTTTATTTACAAAGCATATTATAGCCACCTTCCTTTATTGGAGAGGTACATGTAGTCGAACAAACTATTTAATTTCACTTTCAGCATTTCTTAATTTTGTTCATACGCTTTTACAGTTGAGTACCAGTTCGAAAGTTTGATAGGCCAATGGCTCACTTAAAAGGGGAATTATGAAACCAACCCCTTTTATGGGGAAAATAAATCATGAATGAATAAATGTCAAAATATTTTCAAGTAACAACCCCCTCCCCTCCTCTATTTAAAAACGATCGATTGTCTTAATCACTGAGAAGCTTAACTTGCATGAAATTATGATGTGTTTTTAAATTTTACTGCACTTTCTAGGAACGTACATGTATTCATCTATTTTTGATCCTTTTCCCGAAAAGGGGCGTGTGTTTCATTTGGTCAATATTATACCTACATGATTTAATTCATGCACTTTTCTAATATTTAAATATAAAATAAAATTTATATAGATACTTAATAATAATTTTTAACTATCTAAGAAAGAATCCATTGGAGGTGAACTTGTGAGATTCCCTCCTTTCGTTCCTTTATCAAACTACTTTAATGTGGGAACAGCGGTATAGAAGCAAAACTACAAATGTCCTAACTAGTAAGCCCCACCTTAAAAAAATTAAGACCATCGAATAAGAGGCTCGATATTTTGAGTCCGAAGTTTATTTAATAATAATATAATACGATACCGTCACGTAGCATCCTTTTTGAAAGTGGGGGGGGGGTCTGAGAAAAAAAATACTTATCTAAAAAGTTTACAAGCCAAAAAAAAAAGGACCCAGGAAAAGTTGCCAAAGTTGACAGTCCTATTTCATGGGGGTGGGGGGGGGCTTACTTTTTCAATGCCAATTTTTTCCCGTACCAATTGCCTGCAGTATGAATAAAACCTTAAGGGGTGGATCTCATCTTTTCAAAGAAGCGGTAACTGACCATTGGCACCCCAGTGTTAACAAAATTAACACCACAAGCAAAAGTTTGTCTGGTAGAACCAGATGCTGTTTATTTATAACAAATCTTATGAGTTTGTCAGGGATGGGAGTGAAAAGATGTTTGATAAGAAATAACTGACCCTTTGAATTTACTAGTGGGCTCTCAGTTAATATACTTTCAGAATTGCAGACTTTAGGCCTATAATATATACCGGTATAGAACCATTATTTCCGAATATTTACAATCAACATAGCCGACTAAATAAATCTATCTAAGCAAAAAATTGTTCTCTTTCAGTGTATATGTTGATACAAATGCGTCACTACAGGGATAAATATTCGACAATTACTAATTTGTGTTCTTTTTGTAAAAAATAACTTTTTAGGACTTTGTGATTTTTTTTATTGGGCTTCAATAATCTCATAGCCTGTACCAATTTATATTGTGTTTTTAATTCTATGAATGTTTAAATGCAGGAAAATACACTGTAGTAATATGTTTTGACATAGATAATCATTGAAAAAACTCTTTTACTCTGTAATGACATTTTGTCAGCTAAGGCAATAAAAATTGAACATATAGAATTAAATTAATATCACTTGCAGACACCTATAGTGTGGATCGTGTCTACACCTCCTCTCCCATTTCTTTTTAATAAGTTTCAAAAATATCTTGTTGGCAAAACGATTAAGGAATGTCACTGATCATGACACGAAAATTATAAGTTTTTCATCTAATCTTTCTATCTTCACTTTTGGTGCCTGTGAATATAGGTAAAAAGGATTTTTAAGTTTAAATTACATCATGTTGCAGTGAAGTTTAAAAAAATAAAATATTTTCATAAAATTTTCCGAATATATTTTACTATTGTTCGAAAAACATATAGAAGTACTTATAATATACACCAGATTATTTCAAATGTGTCAATAATTTTTCGCAATTCTAGAGTGCCTTTATACAAAAATATGTCTCTAGCTACAAATAAATAGATTTCATATTGATTTAAAATTACATTTAAATCTGTCTTTTTCATGACTAACAATAAAATCAAAACATGTAGGTTGATATCAGATGTCAGTATTAATTTACAGATCTGTATAATGAGTAAAAAATATATATAAATATAGGCGATGCAAGGACATTTGTTGGAAAAAAAAATCTTATACAAGGAAAACATTTAATTCAAGGTAAAATGACTGAAAGGAATTTTTAAAAGGAGAGAATTTTTATACATGTATACATTTCTTTTTAGAAATTATATATGAATGATTGATTGATTGATGAATTACATGTCCGTCTCTTTCTGAAGTTTTTAGCCCCTTTTAGATGTCACAACTCACGGATGAAAATGTTATTAAGGCATTGTGACGACATTCGGGGCTTGAGTGGTGAAAATTCAGTGCCTATTCTGACATTATACCATGGATTATTTAGTTTAATTCAATATAACCCGTGACTTTCACTATAAGTGGCTGTAGTTTGGTGAAGGAACAGACACATCCCATATAAATTAAATATCTTAGGTTTGATGCTTCGACGGATAGGGAAATCTAATCCGGTATCTTCCGTTTCATGATACTAGCGACCAACCTTTTGCATATCTCTATGTGGAAGAATTTAGCTTGCTTTAAAAAGCTTTAGAAATTTTAATTTTGATAACAGTAATTTTCCGTAGATATAATTGAATAATATGATGGTTTTAGATAACTATTTATACATTTCTTTTCTCTAGATGACGAAATTTTACCTAGTCCTCGTTCTGCTTCTTCACGCTGCACACGGAGATACACAGACCGGAACTTGTAAAGACATGTTGCAGGGTTATCTAACAGGACAACTGTCGTCTGCACTCGGAGCCTATCAGGTGGAAGCTTTAAGGCGGGAATTCAAAAGCTTCACTGACGTCATTGAGGAATCTATGAAAAAATTAAAGGAGGAAGTGAGCGCTAGCAAAAAAGATAAAGGTGAAAGACGACAATAGAACTAATTTACTAGAGTTTTTATTTTCAGGATTCAATGTAATGATTACGAGGGTTGGTCCAAAAGTAGTGACACAAATTTGATTTTTAAAATTGTTAAAATTCGAATCAGACCTGAAAATCTCAATCCAACATGATTTATACTTTTAAAATTATTGGATTTAATACAACGTGCGATTTTAGTTTTGGTCGCATCTACATAACGTCAGATAATTGGTATGCACCGTCATATATTTCCTAATAAAAATATTTTAGATTCACGAACACGTTCATAAATTTCTGTTCTTTAAGAATTCTGGGTACCTCTCATAGGCCCATTTTTTGAAATTCTTTGAACAGTACCTTTGGACAAAGTGTTCATATCCCTTTACATAACACAAGGATGAACACGCATGTCTTTTGACAACATCAGACACCGGTTAAATGGCTCTGTTAAACGTAACTGTTTCTACTGGCAATTTTCCCGCATTGAAGTTAATTTGCAATTTTTATTATGCACAGTTTGTAACGGCGTTTTTCCCCATTTCGACACTTCCACTGTTCAAAGCATCAGAGTAAAACACATACTTAATGATAACAAATAGCAACATGTTGTATTTGATGATATAACGGCAAATATAAAAGATATGAACACTGAGACATTACTTTGGATCAATCCTCATTCAACTGAGTAATTTTTTTTTATTGTAGATTTAGGAAACAGAAGTATTGTATACACAATATGGGGAAAGAAGATGTGTCCCTCAAAAGCAATATTAGTTTATTCAGGTAAAAATGCTTTCTGCATTTTAGAATTATAAAAAGCATGATTTATTTGTTTAGTTTTGGACAGGTCTTTGAAATTCTTTTCACCTGTGTTTAAAAATGTTTAATAATTGCTTCAAACCTATTACAAGAACGATAATCGTATTTATATGTAATGTACAACATACGTTATATAACATTCAGTAAAAACTGATAATCAATTAATCCTGAGTTAAAGCTTTGTAGGATTCGCCGGGGGGTCACATTATACTGACAAAGGAGCAGCTGTAGATCCACTTTGTTTGCCGAGGGATCCAGAGTGGGGGAACTATAAGAGTGGAACTAGCGGAGCTGGAGGTTATATATATGGTGCCGAGTACGAAACAAATGCATTCACAAACCACTACGCTCCATTTCTTGACCATGATGTGCCCTGTGCTGTATGTCTTGTTCAGAACAGATCCATCGTGAAAGTATTTCCTGGTGAGAAAAAATTCCTTCCTGTCTGTAAAATTCAATTTTGTCCTCCAGATTTCATTTCTTAAATAAGTGTTGAAGATTGAATCTTAAAACATTCATGCATGATCGATCGTGACTATTATTGACATTCGTTGTTATAGGCTTCATATCCGTTATCCACTGAAAGTAATTTGATAATACATGTAAACTTTATTAAGTTTTAGTTTAAAAAAAAATGTTTTCAATAGGGGCATAAAGAGTCTTGTAAGTCATTTTTTCCACCGGAACTTGATTCTCCAAACCAGGAATAGTCAAAAAATGCGTAGTTTTCATCGAGATTCCGATGTAAGATTCCTTGCGCATGAAGATCTGTTTTGTGTCGTATTAAGCTCTTTCTTTCAATGAAGTTGTAAATAAACAAACCCCGGAAGTTCATTAGAATTTAGAGAGTTCCCTTATCTAAGTGTTTCTTAACATACTTTGAAAAATTTGTGTACTTTTTTCATATTCACATTTAGTTGTTTCTCTTTTTTTCAATCGAAATATCTCAGTGAAAATCATCATGTTAGAAATGGGACGAAATACCTACACTCTGCTCTCAACGAGATTTCATCTAGTGATTTGTTTCCTTAGTGGTGTTATGCAGATGATTGCGGGAGTGCCTCGATAGCATTTAATGGCGAATTTCTTGACCTTAAGAGGGCTTGGGGTCACTGCCATTTAATAATCTCTATACTTTTTTTCACATTTCAGTCTTGTTACTCATTCTTATTGAAAGATTTTTTTTGTTTCAATGATAAAGCATATTTATCATTAATTTGGCATTATATTAACTAGTAAAATCTTAAAAGTAAGATTACAGAACATATCCGACTATACTTTACTTTTAACCAAGCAAACCCATTTCTAAGATCATAGTTTCTTTTCTTCTCTTTTTTTGAAAATTTAAGCTACATATGTATATTTGTGTTCATTTCAGCGAGAAAAACCTGTTACATGGGATGGAAACTCGAGTACCAGGGCTATCTCATGGCTGGACATTTCAATCATAAAGCTGGTACAACATACACGTGTGTGGACAAGAATCCTGATACCTTGCAGGGCGGTCATGCGAATAAAGATGGCTACCTATTTTATTTTGTAGAAGGTCGCTGTGGGTCATTGAAATGTCCACCATACGTTGAGGGAAGAGAAATTGTTTGTGCTGTCTGTTCAAAAGCGTAAAGAATAAATAATACATTATATTAATTTAAAAATAAATTCGTGACTTTTCAATTTACTATATCATGAAGACGTATCTCTTATGCCTCTAAAGGATGACTGCACTTAACGCTGTGTTTTGGGTCTTTTTCTGTAGGTTCCGTTGCTTTTAAATCTTGACCTAAGTTCACTGTTATATATTTACTACAGTGGTCTGTCAATTAGATACACAATTGAAATGTCAAAAATGATTTTAGACTGTAATGCAATACCTGATTTTATGTTATTTTTTTCCTTACGGTTTCCCAAATACAGACCATTTACACTTACCTGCCCCTGATTGAACATTATGTATGTATGAGAGGCGGGGTTAACCTATCGTAAGAATGAATCTAAAATTAGACTGGATGAATAACAATGAAATGTATTTAAAATACGAGATCATTATTTTCCATCTTTCTGTTTATTCTGTATGGCACAGGTACATTATTTACAAAGGTTTTAGACATACAAGCTCATCCATGTATGAAAAGTATATTTTAAATCTATGGCTGATTATTAATCGTGTTCGAACGCAGTGTCCTAGTTAGCTAAAATATGCTACCTATACATGTAAGTCACCTGACGGAATTTTGTATTTACAAAATAAGCTGAGGAAAGATATCACGTGGTGAATTATAATATTCAACGTGTCACGGTCCTTGGTTACAACAGAGAGAGCGAATGTAAGAAGAAGCAGTTTTTTTTCTTTAAAACAATGAGCGCATGCTTGTCTATTAATCTCCTTTTAACACAAAATTACAAATGCAAATATACAATTAATGTTAAAAGGAGAACAAAAGACGAACATGCGCTGACTATGTATAAAGTCAGGAAAAAAGTTGGCGTCCTCATTTTCATACGGAGATTGCAGAAAACAGATTCGTACATCGTAGATACATACTTTTATTAATTGTAATTGAGTAAATTTGTAGAAAAGATGTTGCTCATTCCTACAACTAAAAGAAAAATGTCTGTTTTGAAAGTTTATTTTCACGCAAAATTCGCAGATCCCTAAGTGCACTCATCCTTTCTGTTGTATTTATGTGGATGTGACAAATGTTTATGCTGTGTAAGATACCGACATCAATGTATCTGATATTCATACTGACATAATGAATGTGTATATTTGGCATCAAATCCTACTAATTCATATCTTATAAAAGAGTAATTCTTTTTACTAGCATCTACTGTAGATCAGTAAATTTTCGCGACACATTATTTTCGCGAGATAGTCATTGACTCTTGATTAGCGAAACAAAATTTTCGCGAATTGTAATTATTGCTCTATATGATCTGAAGGAATACTATTTTACGCGACAATTAAATTTTCGCGAGCATAATTACGCAAAATATCATCTTAAGGTAGGATTCTTCTCACAGTTCTTGTATTTAAAAATTAATGAAATTTAAACAGAATCAAGAGGACAATATCACTAAGTGATGGTATCAGCGAGATTAAATTTGACCGTTTAATATTAGAGGCAAGGTCAGGTCAAGGTCATTACCTTTTTTTTCTGGACATTGAGAATGAAAAAATACTGCTTCAAATTTTGCGATCCCTACTTGTAATTCAAAAGATTGAATGTTTTTTTTTTTTTGCATAAAAAGATACTACTATATAGGGCCTATAAGATGATATAGAGAGAGAGAGAGAGAGAGAGAGAGAGAGATGGATAATTAAAATAAAATGGATATTTGCTAATCCGAATTTCCTCTACTTTTCTTAATTTTTTAGGATTTATTAGGTATTTTTATATGCTTCCTATATTGAACTTTTTCCAATTTTCACATATAGTAAAGTTGTCACATAAAGGTACAAAATGATACAAAAACTAAAAGTTTTGATCGTTTACTAAAGAGAGAAAAACACTTTTTCTGATTTTTTGCTCAAATCCGTCCTAAGATTTGAAGCATTTAAAAGCCAACATAGTTCTAGTATGTGTGAAAATCTTATTTATTTGATATATTTTGAAACTTTAGTCCCTTATTATTAATTTAACTTACATATGAAAATTTCGTCTAGTCTTTGATTGTGTAAACATTATAACTAAATCCAATATTCTATAATAATTTTGAGACGCAAAAAAGAAGATATATTCATACGCCACCATTCTGCCAAAAATATAGTCCTTGCTAGTTTTCAAAAGCAGTTTAGCATTTCTATTTAAAGTTGTATAATTGTGATGAGGAAAGAAAAATATGGTCTTTTAAATCTCTTACACTAAATATATATCATATCAACAAATTTACTTTGAATATTCCAGCTAGTCAGAAACCAGAGAAGAATCCTACCTTAATATTTAATTCTTTCAAAAAGTGGTTTTACTAGCCCAGTGGATCTCGAGAAGATTTTCTCTTATTGCAGTAGGATTAAACACGGCAAAACATGGGCAGTATTATATCATGAAAATCGGGTCATGATCCGAACATGTTTTGGTATTTTGTGAATAATTATGATTAGGGAACACAAAAAATATTTTACATAGTTGTTGATGGAAAGGTTTTGTGGGTATGTCTTATTTCGCAAATGTGTGACGTCATAGTTGGTTTCTTCTGTACTCGAGGAATGTAAACATGACACATTTTTCTCAGACTTAGGTTTTGTTTAACTGTGCAATAATGAATTCAGCTTCACCATTCGATATTTTTTTTTTACATTTAATTAATATAATAAATAACATTTCAACGTATATTTTCAAATATTGAATGATAGAATGTTTTTGTAAATTAAGTTTTTTTCCTTTATGTTGTCTTAAAAAGTACTCATTGACAATTTTCCGTCTTCTGACAGTCTTTGACAGAAGAAACTTGCTTTTTCGAATTTTAAACCCTATTCATACTGTGAAATATTTTAATAGACACATTTATACTGACATATTTTTTATCTATGCTGAAAAAATAACATAATGGACAAAGTACTTGGCCCAGAAACATGGAGAATCAAAACTCCACTTAGACTCTGTGGGGCATAGTACATGTTGTAATTGTAACTCAATATCCCCAAAACAATTCTAGACACCTATTGATATAACTGCTTAAATGTATGTGGGACATAGTATATTAGAAATATACAAAATATATAAAAAAAATTTTAATGACAAGTACTTTTTCAGCTTAAAGTCCTTCTTCCCCTCACTTTTACGTATAAACACAATTCTTGATATCGACAAAAGATATGTTACATGTAGCAGGCTCAAATGCTAAAAAGGGTTTATGGTGTAAATATTACCTTTTTAAAAAATATTTTTTTACTATTTTATTATGTTTATTGTTTATTGGTTTTTAATAACCATATCTAAAAAGATATTTCTTAATATCGAAAACAAATTTACTGCAGACAAAAAAATGAAAATTTTAACTGTAAATGGGTGACTTTTGTTTAACGATACCAGCTGACCACTAAAAGGTAGGGGTACACATTGTTGGGATTTTCAACCGTTCATTCGTACGATCTTTCGTTCTTACATGTACGCCCTTACTTCCATTGCACTTGAGGGTACCTATCTTTTATTCCAAATTCCCCCTACAATGCTAAATAAAAATTGATTCTTTACAGAATATGTAATGCTAACTGCTATCTAGCAAAGATATTTGATGTTTCT